CACCACCACACCATTACCTCCGACCACGACAAGCCTTAAAATAACCACCAAAATACTCCTCTACCTCCCCACAACACAGCCATGCCAACCAAGTTAACCAAAATGACCTCAAACTCAAAACTCATTTCATAAAAACCTAGAATTCAAAAATTTAAAACATAAATTCGAGCAATTGTAGTACATCATATGAAATTCTAATAATACCAAGAGATTCCTAACCCTCAAATTAGCCTAGTAGCATACCTTTAATCATTCGAAGTAGCTTCTTCCACAAATTCGAAATTCTAAATTTAATTTTCTCTCTCTAGCTTCTCTCTTCTCCCTCTCTCATTTCTTGGCGGTTCTCCCTTATCCAGAGACTTGCTAAAGTATTTAACACCTCCTCAAACATATCTGGAATCATGGAGAAGGCTGAGGAGAACTCCTCTTGTGCTGCCAAGCAGCAACTTAGAAACAAATGTCATGAAATGACATTTTTGTAAATAACTCAATTTCGTTTTTTTTTATAATTATAAACCTATTAAAACATGCACTATAAATATGTGCCTATATTTTTTTTCGTCCACACATGCTCGGATTTTACAATTTACTTGTCAGTGTGAGTATGAGTGTGAGTGTGCATATGTATATGCGCGTGTATCTATGTGGACTGTTAGTGAGTATGCATTCCTTTTATTTGTGTGTATGTGAGCGCTTAGTCTCTTCTTATACTCTAGCTTATTTGTGTGTGTACACTTATGCGTGTGTAAATCTTCAATCATCACCTCTGCAAGTTTCTCGTGTAACCCATTTTTATCAATGAATTAGGTGGAATAGGATGGAAAGGCCACATTAAATCAATGTTGAATATTGGGGAACAAAAATGAAAAACAAAAAATAAAAAATTGCTTGAGTACCAAAATAACACCATAGCCCTTGAAAGTACAACGAAGTAAAATATGTAAAGAACTATCAATATAATCTACAGTGTTCAAATCGTTTTTGCATTGATCTTTGCTATGCCATGAGCTTCAAATTGGCCTCTAAGACTATAATCTAAGTATCAACCACCATGACAATTGAGGCTAAAATCCTTACTAGTTGTCTTCCTCATAGAGTACCCACAACGTAGTTACAAAAGAAGCTAATTTTGAGAAAAGAATGCTCTTAGACCCATTAGGATAGTTCTCATTGAAAAGTATGGGGGATACTACTTTAAAAAATCTCAAATTTGACTCTTGCGAGAGATGTCCTTGGTTGATCTAATATATATAATTTGTGGGTGATTATTATGCATCGGAGTTGAGAGTTGGTGTTGCACAGCTTCTTCGTTCACGCCTTTAAACTCAACGAAGTTTTACTAAAAATGCAAGTTCAAATAATATGTGCTTAGTTTAATTTAGGGTAATTAAAAAAAAGGAAAAAGAAATTGAACATATTTTAATGGGCTACGAATTGGACTTGTTTTAATGGGCTACCCATTGAATTGGTTTGGTTTTAATAGGCCACGGATTACCAATTGGACGGATTTTAATGGGCTACCCATTAATTTGGTTTTAACAGCCACCAATGGACTGAAGGGTTTTCTGTCAGACTGTGCTCCGTAGCCCAATAAGCAACATAACTTTCATACTGGCGTAATTGAAGCTCGGACATCATCTAGTGCAGCTCGGGTATAAATGTCACCAGAGTTGATCCCCATCAATCTTCAACAAGCTCTTCCAAAGGGGGGACTCTTACAGATCACCGAATGTTAGTCAAGCAGCTCGACCAATGACCACGGAAGCTCAACCCTTCTAGATGATCTCTCATTGTTTCTAGAATGTCATGTGGAACATTGTCGAAGATATTCTAATAAACAAATATCCACTTCGTGTTTCTAGTCGTTTGAAGGGACTATACAATTTAGGAAAAAGATAAAACTTAGTTCATGTGTAAATAAGAGGATATACCGATATAAAGATATTCTAAATCTCATTGTAACAATCTTTTTTTTCAAGAAATAAAAACTAAAGAACAAGAGATTCCATTAGAATGAACTAACTAAACTCTTCGGGTCTGGTGAACCACCGAATCATTTGTGTTATTTCATTTCCCTAAGTTATTATTTTCTTTGCAATACCAAAGAGCTTTTTGGCTTCATACTCGAAATCAATCACACTCACACCAACACATTCTCCCAATTACTTTTGGATTCTTTCCTCTTTTTCTGATCACCTTACCTTCTGGCCTTTATTTTATGTAATCAATAACGTGTACCTATAAGTTGTAAAATAACTCCAAAAAAAAAAAAAATTGTTATAATTAAACCCCAAAAAAATATTTTTAATCCATAAAAAAATCCAGATTTTGATACCATAATTATTTTGGTACCGGAATTAAATCTTATATATCATAAAGCATTGCTTAGGGCATATTTCATGCTTGTCCTCGTTGAAGTAACTTTCACCAAACAAAATTTGTAAGGTTTGATAAGATTAAAGAAAATTGATCCGACAAACTCAAATAGTATAATGGGTTCGGATTTTGATTATTCTTTAAAATTGAATTATAAGATATTTATTTCTTATAAAAATATTATTTTTAAATTAAAAAAATTAATCAAAATATACAAAACACGATAATTGACAAAAAAAAAAAAAAAAAGAGAGAGAGACACAGTAGACTGACAAGGGACACATTACAAAGCTTGAATTTTGGACATTTGTAAACAGTAAAAAAATAGATTTTATAAGTGAGGGATACACAAAGTCTATTCTATCCCACCTAATTCACCGACAGGACCAACAATTCTGTCAAATCAAATATCACTTCAAATCATCTTTCTCTATCCTTTTCTTGCTTTACTTTCCTCTTAAACCAGAGTCAAGTACCGTTGTCAAGTCCCATGTGTTTGTGTGTGGGTCTATGAGAGAGAGAGAGAGGTGTGAGTGTGTGTGAGATGGGAATGGGCAAACTGACAAAACCTGTGGCTTTTATTATATAATTGGAGCCATTCACAGTATCATGCTGCAGGCATCATCTTCTTTCTCAACTAGTCTAACCTAAAGGCAATCAATTATTTAAAAAGGAAAAGAGATAAAAAAAAAAAACTAATAACAAACAAAAAAGGTAAAATAAAAGATCTCGTGAAAGCAGGGGTGAAACAATATTCAATTTTTATTTTCTGCTTTTATTCAATTTTTACCCACAAAATAGAAATTGCTCAAAAGTATATTTGGGCACCAATGTTAAGCAACTAAATCAACATATTTTTCAATATCAAATAATTTCATTAATTTTTTTTCTTTTTCATAACTTTTTTATTTTTTCTCTATTTACTTTAATTTTAAAATTTAGTATTATAAAATGTCTTCGGTACGGGATCAATGTTAGTCTATAGAATATGACAGCTAAAAATTTGAATTGCACATAATGTTATTAACAATTAATATTAACTCAATTTTCATTTAATATCATCTAACAATAAAAAAAAACATTTTCCACCAAAAATTATCATGCTCTCCTCAAAAACTTTCAATATCAGATGACTTAACCGACATATTCTTTAATGTCTGACAACTCCGTCGACACACATATAATCCATCTCTTCTCTCCCATGAGCAGAGCTACCATTATTTAAGTCGGACCAATCTATACTTAAATGGCGTTAGACAGAGGACAACCTTCCCAAACTGGTCTTGTTGGGCGCAACCCCCCCGCGGCTCTCTGAGTGCCAATTAGAGGCATCTCTGCCCTGGGTATAAAGATCAAAAGCAAGTCATTCTTCGCAGGGACAACTACTGTTTAATAATAAGACAGTTCATAACAATCAATGAGAGATACTTTTCAAGGTGTAAAAGAAATAAATTATAAATTTAGGTACGTTGAATTTAAATATTAATAATTATTTAAAATTAAATCATAATAAATTTATCACTTATAAATACATTAGTTTTAAAGTTAAAATCACTCACAACAATACAACCTCTCCTCTCGTGTTCACCTTTCTTTCTCAATGGTGTTTAAATTATGAATAATTACACTCATTATCAATAAAAACACAATTAAATCAATAAAGCATACTAAACAGGAAAAAAAATCATGGATGTAATATCAGAGAGTTATAAAAATAATGTGTCTGATATTTAATCAAAAGTTTCAAATTACGTATTTATAATCATTAGATATATATACAAATAATATGCATATAAATAATTTTTTTAAAAAAAAATTGAGGGTGGCCAGGGCCCAACTGACCCCCATGTGGCTCCGCGGTTGCTAACCACAAGTGTCCCCTCCCTGTCTCTTCTTGTTAGTTGTTAGAATGGAAACCCATCTTTCATTCACCAATTTCTCTGCAACTTCCCCGCTTCTCCATCACCATCTCACATTCCACAGACCAGAGAGAGAGATAGAGAGAGAAAACAACTCTGTAGTTTTGTCATGCTAAGCACAAGCATGTATCAGACTAAGTAAAGTAACATGAAGGGTAACAAACTATTTACCAAAAAAACATTAATGATAAGTAATCATGCACCTTTGGGACTTGAAGCCTCGGCAACGTACTAAGTAGGCCCTCNTACCAAAAAAACATTAATGATAAGTAATCATGCACCTTTGGGACTTGAAGCCTCGGCTACGTACTAAGTAGGCCCTCTTCATATTTCTTTTATGTGTCATACTCATATGAATTTCCCATAAAAATCTACATCTTCCAAAGTCAGCTCCACAGACTTTACACTTTATAGGAAAAGAAAGAACCCATGATAAATAACCTTATATCTTCTTTTTTCACAGTATACACTAAGTGTCACAATGCAACTCAAACAGATCAGATTACTGGCATTAATGCAAGTCAAAAAGCTCAAAAAAACAAAGAAGAGAGAGAGAGAGAGTCTAACTCTAAACCTAAAAATTACGTTCCCAATGATACGTATCTCTCACATGAACCAGAGAATCAAATACTATATTGACAAAGGGACCAAAGAGTTAAAATAAACACTGAACACTTTGCTCTGATTACTATGTTGCTGTAATTTTTAAGGCATGAAGAGCTTGTTGCCACACTTGCAACGCCAAGCTTCTGGGTAGTACTCTAATGGTCTACTTAAACCGGGTTGAATCGGCACGTGTACCGGTTTACAAGGTGAACACCTTCCACACTTGGATCTGCACGTGGGCGGTGACGATCCAGGCCCACTGAGTCTCCTTTGAGTCAGGACTCGCTCTACAATCCCTGACCCACCAACCCTTTTCGCCTCTTCTCTCTCCTTCCTCACTCCACCACCTAACCAAAACCGAACACACATACGAATACATAGAATTAGCTGGTATGAGTCGCACATTGAAATTGAGTATAGGTAACTGGGTTATTATATTGGGTCGTACTTAGAAGGATCAAAATTTTATTTGGGTGTATAATTAAATATTTCGTAAACGTTTTTTGAAAATCTTTTAGATATAATTTCTCATAAAAATAAACTAAAAACTTAATTTTGGAACATTATGACAGAATATTTTGAAATATTAATCAAAATATCTTTAAAACATAAACATTTCTACCGATATCGACATATTTTCATTGATGCAAACGAAACCAAATTTTGATCCTTGGACTGAGACTATATATACTTACCGAGGTGGCGAGGTGGGTAGGGAGCAATGGCTGAAGAAGAAACAAATAAGAGGAAAGCAAGCGCTGTTACAGTGGCAAAAGATGGTCTTTTGTGGTGGCTGCAGTGGCATAAAACGCCCATACTCAGAGGCTGGTCTGCCCAAAATAGCTTCAGCACCAATATATGAGAAGGTATTAAAACGCTAAGCAGAGGAAGAAGATCTGAAGGACTGAGAGAGGTATTTGATGCTATTATTGCTAGTGCTAGGCGCAAGCGTGTGAATCCCTAGTCAAAGACTCTTGCATTAAATGATGAGAGAGAGAGAGAGAGAGAGAGAGAGAGAGAGAGAGGGTCACTCTGTGTGCAGAGAATTGGGGGGAGAGAGGAAGAGAGAGAGAGGGGAGTGTGAGTGTTCAGAATAAGAGAGAGACCACTGAATGGGGTGGTGGACTGGGATACTGAACTTCTGGTCCTTCAAAATTTGAGTCTTATAGTATATATCGAAGATCGATGATTAACTGTTAATTAATTTTTTAAAAAATAATAAACACTATCAAGAACTTCATGCTAACATCAATAAAATCTATTGAAATGGTTTTTGAGAGGATCTGTTTGATCCTGTGTTTGGTGTATTTTTGGGGCAGAGGTGAGAGGGTGGGACCCGGGTAGCAGGGTCTTTTTTTTATGGCCATTGTTATGATTGCCCATGATCAATATACGGTATTACGATGATGCCATCATGAAAATGAACTGAGAATAAGAAACGGGTAATACGTGCAACTTAGTAAGGTACCAAAAACAGGGGGATTAAAATGTAATATTTCCAAAATTGGAGGGTGTTCAGAGGGCAGGTGGCATCACCCGTGTGGTAAAACGTACGTGTGTGGGGAATGGGGGTGCTGTCTCGTACGGGACGTACATTTTTCAATTTTTCATACAATAAACTGGATATCCACCATTATTGATCACTCTCTCTCCTATGTTATGGGTCCGGTTCCTCTGCGGTTGGTATTTTCACAGCACACACGGTGCTGTTAATGAAAACGGCACCGGTTCATATTATGGACCCGCAAACAAAAAATTAGCCCAAGAAAAACAGTGTGTTATGAATGATTTTCAAATTTATAACTATATTTATATTATTTATAAATGTCAGTATTTATAAACAAAAAATTTAATTTCTTATTTTATTCATAAGTATTATAATAAAATCAATTATACTCACCTATATACTTTCATCTAATTTTTATTTTTTATTCTTATTTGACTTTTAACTTTTTTATAAAGACTTTTAAATTATTTTGAATTCTCTGTAATGTAATTAGATCTGCAAATGGGTAAAATAAATGACAGATTAAATACTCAAAAAAAAAAAGTACTCAAAAACTTATAAAATAAACTAATAATTAAAATACAGATTAATTATTAGATATCAAATTTATTATTTAATTTAATTACATACATATAATTTATATTTTAAAAAAAATTATTTAAATTTATTTACGTGCAGCGCATGTAATGCATTGCTAGTTTTATAAAAAACAATTACAAAATTTATTATGATGGTACAATACCAAATTTTTTTAAAAACTTTGACGACAAATATATGAGAGGTCCACCCCGGAAAAACAAAACTTCCATAAAACATATAATTGACAAAAATATTGTCGAAAAAGAAGTTTATTTAAGTGATTAAATGAGAAATTTTAAAATATCTTAATATAATTCTCCTAAAAATTTATATTTAAAGAAATATTCCATGGAAAGCAGAGAGAGTTGGTCCATATGAATATGATAGTAATTGATGTGATTCGGCCTTATTTACAACCTGAACCCCTGACCGAACCCAGACCTATCGGGTCTTTTCTGGTTCCCTTGTGCTTAAGTTAGCATTATTAATAATGGTTAATTTGTAGGTTACACAATCACGATGTTTCTTCTTTACGGTAGACTTCATCACTGTAAATAGTGCGATTGACATGTGTTTGAGTTTTTTCATGGTGGCACTGTAAAAAAGAAAGGTCTCAGTGTTGGTAGTCAACTCTTTAGGTTGTTGTACGGATGATTTTCTGTGATGAATTGATATAATAATACGTGAAACAATTTTGAATAACGTTAAACTTAAAACAAAAGATTAGGACAAAAGATCATCTCTAATTTTTTTTAGAGATATTTATACTTGAGTTAACAATAATGATATGATTTTTGAGTCAATCTCATAATTTAACGACGTGCACTCATATCTAACTATAATGAGTGTTATCTTATCAAATTTTCTCAAGTTTAATACCCTCGGCAAGTGGACCCTTGCTTGATAACCCTCAAGTATTTATGGCCCAACTTCTAATTATTAAATATCTTTGCTCGGTAATGATAACTATTTTCACTTTTTTCGAAGACATAGATATACATTAATGACTTTGTTACAATCACTCAAGACCCCATTAATGAACTGCATATCCCTTCTAGTGCTAAGCTCAAAGGGGCGCACTCAATCCTCCAAGTTATAACTTGTGGATTCTTAATGACTATAACTATTAACGTGTTTATCTATTATTTGCAAGTTCCTAAAATCCCATCAGCTATATTGCCCATAAATTCAGTAATACCATAGATTTTGACTTTATCCACATTTGGTTGGATAGAATTTGGCTGCATTTGTCAGAGAAGACGTGAGGGTAATCGGAGAAGGCGATCTAACCTAGTAAATAACCACAGTTAACAAACTTAACCTCGATAGTATAAGACCCAGTTGAATGGTTTACAATCACAGTTAAAATATTTGGTCTTTTTTCCACTTTTCTCCCTTTTTTGGCCAACGTGTCTATTACAGAGTGGCTGCCGGAAAACCATATGGTTTGCGAGTAAGTTGGACAGAATGCAATCTCCTTGTTATATATTGTCGATAGAAGAAAAGCAAAATATTTTAGTTCACCGTTAGGGGGTGGCCGGTGGATGTGTGTGAAAGAAGAGCTGAATTTATTAATAAAAAGACAATAGCTTGGTTGAGTAAAGTACACGGCAGAAGGAATAATATTATTATATTAAAAAAAAATTAGTTTAGACCCCCACCTTAAAAATTCGGTTGAATTAAACCTCATACCTTAAAAAATATAAACTTAAATCTATATAATAAAGTAGTTTTCAATTCAAATTTCAAAAAATAAACAAAATAATTTTTGTTATTTGCAATTAAGATCGTTTTAAATTTTACTTTAAAATTAATACCCTAAATTTAATAAGAAAAATATGTTCTTAATAGTGTGTTTGAAGTGACTTTTTAAAAATATTTTTAGAAGTTATCTTATAAATTTTTTTTTTAAAAATAGTGTTTGAAATTATCTTACCACTACCTCTACCACCACCACCACCACCACCACCGTCACCACTATTATCACTGTCACTGTCATTGCCACCACCGTTGTTGCCTCCACCACCACCCCCACCCCCACCACTGCCATTGTTGTTGCTTCTGTCGTCGTCGCCCTCAACGCCATCATGATCATTGTCACCCACAACAACCATCGTTGTCTCTTACCACGACTATTGTCGTCCACCACCTCTCACCCTCACTATAAAATTGATGCTTAAATTTTTTTATCTCTTTTTTATATTTGTGATTTGATTTTAAATATTAATACAAATATTTTTATTATTTTTTATTTTTTATTACTCTGTGTAATAACTAGTTTATTTATAAATTAGGTATCAAATGTATAATTTTTAACAATTTTTACGATATTTTTGGTACGACAGACTACTCCTATTCCCTCTCCCTCTCTCTGACTTGTTGCAGTGAGGAAGGGAAGAATCCACCGGTGAGAAGGACATGCTATTTAATGTTGGAGTGGGGTCTAAGGTAAAGGGTAACAGATAAAAGCCGACAGCAAAACGTTTGTTATTGTGTCGTGATAGATATGTAGAAAGAAGGGAAGGCCCAATGGTCAGTTGTTTTTATGAACCCTCATTATCTAATCTGTGAGAGTGTGGGCCTACGAGTCGGTTTGGTCATCGGCTCAAGACCCGATAGGTCTGGGTTCAGTCAGGGGTTCAGGTTGTAATTAAGGCCGAATCACATCAATTACTATCATATTCATATGGGCCAACTCTCTCTGCTTTCCATGGAATATATCTTTGAATACAAATTTTTGAGGGAATTACATTTAGACTTTTTGAATTTTATCACTTAATTACTCAGACTCTCTAATTTTTAAAATATTATACACAAACTCCTTAAAGTTTATATACGTGTAACACTTAGACTCCTGCAGTCAATGTTTGTTAGTATATTCATTAGTAAGTTACATTCAAACCCTTTAAAATTTATAGACATATAATACTTAGATCTTTCAAATTTAAAATGTTATATTTTTACCAAAAATATTCTAATAAAAGATAAAATATCAAATATTTTTAATTTTACAACCAAAATTCATGTTCTATTATGACATTTATTGAAATAAAATTAAAAATTAAAATCTAATTTTTTTCTTAAAAATTATAATTAGTATAAAATTTTACTATCTATTGAAATTTAATTTGATCGGTTAAACGACCAAATTAAACATCAAATTATCCCAATTAAAGTTAAAATATATTATGTCTATTACAGTTTGATCATTTGTTTGATTTTCTACTTTTATTTTAATAGATAATATAATTGTATACTAATTATGATTTTGTAAGAAAAATTAGATTTTTATTTTTTATTTTATTTCAATAAATGACATAATAAAAAATGAATTTTGGTTGTAAAATTCATATTCTATTATGAATGACTTAGACCCTTTATTTGATTTATTTAATTTTATTCTAATAGATAGTATAATTGTATTTTAATTATGATTTTTTAAGAAAAAATTGATTTTTTATTTTTGATTTTATTTCAATAAATAATACAATAGAAATGAATTTTGGTTTTAAAATTTAAAATATTTAATAATCTATATTTGATTGGAATATTTTTTGTCTAAGTATAACATTTTAAACTTGAGAAATGTATTCATATATGCAATTTTTTATTATTACATTATTTTTTAATTAATAATTAATAATTATTTTATTCAAAATTAATTGTCCGAATCATTTTTGGACATGGTACGTGGAGGTACCATAGTCCGTAACCTTCACCCTGAAAGGGCAAACCTTAGATTACCTTCAAAAATTGAAAATAACATGTTAAGAACTAAATGATGCTGCTTGATGGAGAAATTACATTTCACACACCAATTTCGTTGAAATTGTTTTAAAAGTTGTTGTGCCCAATGAGCATTATAGTTACACGATAAATTGCACAAATGGTGTCTAAAATTTAACGTTAGTCATACTTTAATTTTCAAAATTTTAATTTTGTCAATTTAATCTTCAATATTCACACATTCGGCTAATTTGGTATTTCACACCAACTTCTGTCCAAAAAAGTAACAAAAAATATCATATGCTTGACACATGAGAGTATTGACGAGCATTTTTGTCATTGCACTTTCAAAACATTGGGCATACAAATCACCCGCACTAATTAAATATACAAAATTTAATAAGTGATTTAATAAACATAACATTGCTTGTTTGTGAAATTTCCCTACCGATAATAGTCAGGTTAATTAGTGATTCATAATTAATAAATAAATCGATACAAACTCAAATAGACATGATTTTTATATGATACAACTCTAGTGATGTATAACTATTAATAACTCAAATAGTTAAAATATCTTGGAGAAATCTTACTTTGTANTATGATTTTGTAAGAAAAATTAGATTTTTATTTTTTATTTTATTTCAATAAATGACATAATAAAACATGAACTTTGGTTGTAAAATTCATATTCTATTATGAATGACTTAGACCCTTTATTTGATTTTTTTAATTTTATTCTAATAGATAGTATAATTGTATTTTAATTATGATTTTTTAAGAAAAAATTGATTTTTTATTTTTGATTTTATTTCAATAAATAATACAATAGAAATGAATTTTGGTTTTAAAATTTAAAATATTTAATAATCTATACTTGATTGAAATATTTTTTGTCTAAATATAACATTTTAAACTTGAGAGATGTAAATATTATATGTCTACAAACTTCAGAGATGTTCTTGTAGTGAAATGCTGCTTGATGGAGAAATTACATTTCACACACCAATTTCGTTGAAATTGTTTTAAAAGTTGTTGTGCCCAATGAGCATTATAGTTACACGATAAATTGCACAAATGGTGTCTAAAATTTAACGTTAGTCATACTTTAATTTTCAAAATTTTAATTTTGTCAATTTAATCTTCAATATTCACACATTCGGCTAATTTGGTATTTCACACCAACTTCTGTCCAAAAAAGTAACAAAAAATGTCATATGCTTGAAACATGAGAGTATTGACGAGCATTTTTGTCATTGCACTTTCAAAACATTGGGCATACAAATCACCCGCACTAATTAAATATACAAAATTTAATAAGTGATTTAATAAACATAACATTGCTTGTTTGTGAAATTTCCCTACCGATAATAGTCAGGTTAATTAGTGATTCATAATTAATAAATAAATCGATACAAACTCAAATAGACATGATTTTTATATGATACAACTCTAGTGATGTATAACTATTAATAACTCAAATAGTTAAAATATCTTGGAGAAATCTTACTTTGTATCCCAAAAGATTTAAAATTTTTAATTTTATAGTTTCAAAAATACCCTCAATGTATTAAAAGTGTTATAATGCGACTTTTATGCTAGTTTTTATTGCTTATTCCGTCAAAAGTCACCCTAGTAACAATGACGGAATGCGTAACAAAAATTAATTAAAGAACCACATTTTTAATACATTAAAGGTTCAATATGAAAAGTCTAATCTTCGGAACAAATCCTTTTCTACCAACGGGTTCATAGTAATCCTTATCTTGTGAAAACTTTACTTTCTTGAAGTCAATGGTTCAAGTCCCCTCTCTCTTTTTCCCCCCAAAAAAATGAAAAGTCTAATATTTAAGGATATAAAATAAAAATTCCTAAATTTCTTAGGGTAGAAAGTGCAATTCACCCAAATATTTTTGACACTCTAGAATGCCCCTCCTCTGATAATGCCAAGATCGATATTTGCAAGGGCTAAGAAACGGTTAAACCAACACACACCACAATCCCCCCAAAGAACAACAGACCTTACACGTGTCAGCAACTAAAACTAGGAATCGTCGACATTAATACACCTCCACATTCCTCATACTCCCATGAGCTCCTACCATTCCAGTGGTCGACTCTCAGACAATCCCATGGCTATCGAGGTCAGTACAACCTTAACTTCTCCAAATAGATTCAAGATTTTGAGTATTATGTAAATTTAGAACTATTGACAGTTATTGTCAAATTCATGCTATGCATTTTTTTCTCATATATAAGTCGTATTTAGCTCTCGTGTTTAATCATATTTGTATTTATTCATGAATCTAACATATTTATCTATTCAGGTTCAATTGAAATCTTGATTTCGTGTCGGGTTTACAGGGTGTGTATAGAATTGTGAGATTGTTTCTACATTAATAAAAATTATTTTTATGGAAATTAAGCAGGCTTGGTTTATGGATGAAAGTAGGGAGGACAAGAGGCTCCCTCATCATCGAAGCCCCCCAGAATTTGTCTCCTTGGATTATTTGGCAGAGCTTGGAGTCTTGTACTGGCACTTAAATCCAAAGGACTATGAGAATGATGAGGAATTGCAAAAGATTAGAGAAGACAGGGGCTATAATTACATGGTATGAAAGTTTCAAAACCTTATCTCATATTTGATTTGATTGTCATATTATGATTCTTTTGAGTTTTCTGATATTAGGGTATAGCTTTCTGGATTCAAATTTGGTGTATGGTTTGCCCTATTATTTGTTCTAAGGGGGAAGAATACTATGTAACAGTTTGGGTGGAAATAATTGTACTTTAAAAGGATGTTTAGTACAGTAAACTTTACTAGGATTAACCGATTATGTTGTTGGTGTCTATGCCTATTAATTATGTCGGGTAAAACAGATCTGTGTCAAAAAGTATTCTACTCATATTCATTTCATTTATTAATTTGTGTTATGCATAAATCTGTGTATAGAACTCCTCATTCTTTCATACTCTATTTATACATTTGATTAGTTAGAGATTATGTGTGTGGTAATATATTGACGTCTTTTTGAAATTACGAATATGAGAGCCGAAAATACCGTCGAACAATTACATATGATGGTACTTTTTTATTTGAATCCTGTAGGATTTGTTGGACNGTGTGGTAATATATTGACGTCTTTTTGAAATTACGAATATGAGAGCCGAAAATACCGCCGAACAATTACACATGATGGTACTTTTTTATTTGAATCCTGTAGGATTTGTTGGACTTGTGTCCTGAGAAAGTGCAAAACTACGAAGAGAAGCTGAAGAACTTCTACACAGAGCACATACATGGTGACGAAGAGATACGTTATTGTCTTGAAGGCAGTGGTTATTTTGATGTTCGAGACAAAAATGACCGTTGGATCCGCATCTGGATCAATGCCGGTGATTTAATTGTCTTACCAGCTGGAATTTACCACCGGTTTACCCTCAACACTTCCAATTACATCAAGGTGAAAAATTATATATTAGTGATTTTAAATTCCAATTATAGAACATTACACGAGCATTCATATAAACATNCGGTGATTTAATTGTCTTACCAGCTGGAATTTACCACCGGTTTACCCTCAACACTTCGAATTACATCAAGGTGAAAAATTATATATTAGTGATTTTAAATTCCAATTATAGAACATTACACGAGCATTCATATAAACAGTACCCGAGTTATTTATTTATTCATCATGAATGTACATGTTTTGTGATGCTACAGTTGATGAGGTTGTTCGTCGGAGAGCCGGTGTGGAGAGCGTTTAATCGGCCACAGGAGGAACATCCGGCAAGGAAGGAGTACATCAAGAGCTTGGTTGAGAAGGTTGGAGTGGCACTTGAAGCTCACTGAGGTCTGGGTATTAAACATCAGTGTTATGTGGTATTAATTGTGTGTGAATAAATTTGTAATGTAATAACTGAAATCACAAGTTGTAAGTTTGTTAAATGATGTGGTGAATGAATGAACTTCTCCAATGTGAGATAGCAGTGCATGAAATTGAACCGGGAGCGCTCTGGTTAGTAATGGATTGGATTGTGACATGTCTAGTTCACATCATGTATAAATTTAATTGTGTTTGATGATGCACAAAACAATCTTATTTAAGATTAACAGTCAAGTGTTTAATAAAGTATAATTAATGGATAATTAATTGGACAATCAATGTCAATAATGTAAATATCGGGTCAACACACAGATATATAGTGATTCAGTAAGGGTGACTTTTTCCACTCTTAAAAACGGCAACAGCGGCGGGGGAATCTTTTATTGATTAAGGTACTGTTTGGCAACCGGTAATTTTTGTTTTTGTTTTCATTTTATGGTAAAAATAAAAATAAAAATATGTTTGGTGAATGTTTTCATTTTTTTTTAATTGTTCTGTTTTGAAAATAAGGCTAAAATATGAAAACATCCAAAATGATGTTTTTGAAAACATCAAAAAACAAAAAAACAAACGCGCGATTGATAAAGGGATTTAATGAGGTCTTGACTTCGATCCTGCTTAGCAATAAAATATGAATTTTTTTGCTTTAAGTATAAAAACCCATATCTCTCTCTCTTTAACCCCACGCAGTCGGCTCTCTCTCTCTGCCAAAGACGAAGATGAAGCAGAAAAGGGGGGAAAACATGTCATCACCCCTCTCAATCGTCTTCTCAAGCTTTAGATATATGTATATTGTCTGTATATATAGATGAGTGGTTAATTTTGGGGGATTGGGGTGGTGGATTTTGGTGGTGGGGGTGGGTTTTTGGGCGTGGGTTTTCAAGGATGGGAATGGGTGGTGGTTTTCGGTGGTGGTCAGTGGGGGTGGTTTTCAATGGTGAGTGATGGTGAGTAGTGTTGGTTTCGGTGTTGGGGTTGAGTGGTGGAGTTTGAGTGGTGAATTTTTAGTATAATATCAAACAAGTTTTTTATTTTTGTTTTCACAATTTTTTAAATGTAAATGACTACCAAACATGTTTTATATTTTTAATTTTTATCACCAAAAAAATAAAATTAAGTTTTGTTTTTTTTATAAAAAAAATATAAAAACAAAAATGTTACCAAACACACTTTGAATTTTTTAAGTGTGGGTACAATTTTCAATACTTATTTGAGCAAAAGTGTATGAGTAAATGGTTTATTCTATTAAGTACAATTTTTATAAAACTTTTTATGTTTAGGTACAAAATTCAAATGAATTAAAATCATTTTTACTTAAACACCCTTCCTTATTTTATGCAGCCATGATTGACAGTTATTTTAAGAAACGAATATGTAAATATTACATATTTGTTATCTTTTAATTTTTGAATTTTGAATGAGCAGTTTTGTGAGTGATTTATGCATCTATTGACAGTTATTTTAAGAAAAAAATATGTAATCTTTATATATTTGTTATCTTTATTTTTTTGAATCAAACGTTTATGTTCAACTGATAAGTCTTCTTCAACATAAGTCTTCTTCAACGTGTTCAATGAATAAATCTTCTTCAACATAAGCCTTCTTTAACGGCGATTTATTTCTCCGATAGTTGGTTTTCTTTTAAAAAGGAATTGTAAATATCAATCATCGTCATCGGATTGAAGGTGCGTTGTTAATAATTATATTTCTTCTTTTTTTGATCATTTTTTTGGGGGAAATTTCTATGTTCAATTTTTTGTTTTATGTTCGTTTCTTTTTGGGATGGAGGAAAAAAAACAGTTTTGATTTTAATGGGTGTAACTGTTTCTTATAAATATAACTATTTTTAATATAGACAAAATAATTATATTTCTTCTACAATTCGATCTTTTTTTTTGGAAAATTCATATGTTCGATTTTGTGTATGTTTGGTCGTTATTGGAATGAATGGAGAAAAAAAACTGGTTTGGGTTTAATGGGTGTAACTATTTTATCTTATGGACATTAATGTATGTTTTCGAAAAAATGTTAATATGTCATTGCTTGTTAATTGTTTTATTTTATTCTCAGATTATTAATCAAAAAATTTTATATGTTGTTCGTTTTTTGGGATGAACGGGGAAAAAAATTGTTTTAATTTTTAATAGGTGTGACTGTTTTTTTAATTAGAGTTATGTTTTAATGTAAATGCTATTGTGTGCAATTTTTCGGCCAATATCTATTTTGGAAGATCCTTCATATTTGTAAAAAAAAATTTGTTTTATGCTTTTCTCCCAGTACTTAGATAATTAATTAATTGATTTGTATTAATCTATATAATAAAACAACTCATACTTTGAATTTTATCCCAGTCATATTTTTTTTTCCTCAAAACCATCACCAACCACTTACCCACGCATCATCCCTCTGTCAGACTCAAATGTCAAGTTGTATCACTCATTTTTATCATATGTTTAATCATTTATATATTTTCTTTCTAAAAATATCACATCACTCATTTTTATCCTATGTATACTCATTTAATTAATTTATAATTAATATAATTTTTATTTCAAACATTATTCATATACACATGTTGAAAAAATTTAATATAGTGAAATTGATTTTTTGGACGCTTGAATTTTATATTTTATCGTACCCGAAGGCACGAGTTATGACTAGTGTTTTTATATAACTGTTTTTCTTTTTTTTTAAAAAAAATTGATACAATGTCATTCGTTTTTTTTTTAATGTCATAATCAAGAATGGAGGGAATAGTGTTGCTTGTATGCAAATATGATGTTGAAACTTTTATTATCAAATGTTCTGTTCGTGCAACATTTAATTTCATTTATGGCAGATTGTGCGAAAAATGGGAGGACTTGGGAAATTTGTTTGTTGTCATGTCATATTCTATACCAGATCACCCACAATGTTGTTTGCAAAATGATAAAGACTTGCGCAATATATTTGATATAATGTGTTTGATAAATGTCAATCATATTTTTGGAGTTACAAACCACGCTAATATATGGTGTATCTATATTAACCTAACCATTACTCCACACATTGATAACTATTTAATTCGTTAGAGTGAGATTCATTCAAATTTTTTATGAGCATTGTAACTCAATTGCACATAGTAATTAATTTTAGGAACACAATTAGGAGTTAAAAGCAGAACTTGTTACAGCCCCAAGAGCTTTTAGATACAAAGAGTTCAAATCAGCCACAAAAGATATTTGACATTGTTTACGGATCATTTGAAACTATTTACTAACTTTTTTTTTCATAGAATCATGAACTGTTATTGCAATGAAAAGATCAAATCATTCTCATTAAGGTAAAACTGAATTCTTAGATGAATTGTCCATTATTGCTTGTTTGAGGCACAAACATTTATTTTATTTCAGCTCCAATACTAGTGTGTTGAGAAGGGTGAATTGATACTTGTGTATGAGTTTATGTCTAATTGAAGTCTTGATAAAATACTATATCCAAAATCTGAATTGGGTAACCCATTGAAATGACCATATAGATACTACATTGCAGGTTTGGCCTCTGTTCTGACTTACCTCCATCAAGAATATGAACAACAATTAATCCACAGAGACAAAGACCATTAATATTATGTTTGATTCAATAACAGATATTCAAGGCAATTACAACACAAATAAGATACAACTATTTAACAGTTAATCAATAAAGTTATCGATAACAAATATAAAAATTGAATCATTAAAATCATCAAAATAGTTACGAAACACAATTAAACCCATTAAATTTTGAATATGAACTGTCTATATTTGAATCCCAAATAATTATTTAAAATAGTTACGTAACTATTTTTAATCAAAAAATTCATGAACCATAAAATTGCCAATAACATACTTATAAGAAATGAATCCTTAAAATCAGAAGAATAGTTACGCAACACATTTAAACTCATTAAATTTTGAATAAAAAAAGTCTATATTTGAATCCCAAATAGTTACTTAAAACAATTACTGAATTATTTTTAATCAAAAAAATAATGAACCAAAAAATTGCCAATAACAAACTTATAAGAATTAAATCCTTAAAATCAGAAAAATAGTTACGCAATACAGTTAAACCCATTAAATTTTGAATAAAAAAAATTCTATATTTGAATTTCAAATAGTTACTTAAAACAGTTGCATAACTATTTTTAATCAAAAAAAAAACATGTTTCAAATTGTTTTTTTTCATATACATATGCTATAATACATTTGCAAATTATTAATATAATTTCACAAAATTAAGGTTTTATGATTTGGTTTTATTTTTGAATCAACTTAAACAGATTTTTGAAAAAAAAAACCAAATAATCATTGAATGAAAAAAAAAATAGAATGTCAACTCAAATTTTCGGTGAAGAAGTTGTCACAGACGGTGAACAGGTTCTGCACGATGTTGGTAACGATGAATAGTCGGATTTTGGAACTATCATAGTACNCAACTCAAATTTTTGGTGAAGAAGTTGTCACAGACGATGAACAGGTTTTGCACGATGTCGATAACGATGAATAGTCAGATTTTGGAACTATCATAGTACTTTTTTTTTTTGTGGAATATTCGATGGTTAAAATAGAAAAAAATAAATAGTTATGTCATTCTATGGATATCCTATTGCCATTTGCCATGGAATTAGGATGCCGAAGAATTAAGGTGCCGAAGAATAAGAGTTTTGATAATTGAATCTCCTTTTTTATCTCCTGATTCTAGCCATAATATACATAGGAATACAAATGGGTTCTACGTTTCTATTGTTTACTGAATTATAATATTGGTGTTTTAAAAAAATATGCACTTTACCTCACATAAGTTTTTGAATTATACTTTTGCCCAAATAAGTCTAAAAAATTGTACCGACTTCTAAATTCTTTTTTTTTTATTCTCAATAAATTAAAAATGTGTAATCAATAGAGGTGTTAATCGATACAAGTTATTTGGGTTCGAATCGAGTTTGACTCATGTTTTAAATAAATTAAACTTGAATAATTTTTTGAACTCAATTTTTTTTAGTTAAAACTCGTAAAACGCGGTTCATTTTTATGTAAAATTATCGAATTAGGACTCGGCTCGACTTATTTTTAAAATATATAAAATATAAAATATTTTTAAAATTCATTTTAAAAAATGCACCGGACAAACTGGGATTCAAACTCGTAATATTCGAATCCACTAACAGTTAGTAATCAGTGAGCTATGCCCATGGGTTTAGCCTCGAGCATCTACGTCATTAAGACCGTCAATTTGGTCGTACTTTTTGCTTCAAATGATTGTCTCTTAAAGTCAAAACGTATAATAATCAATTACGTAAAAAAATTGTACAACCTTAATGGCAGTGATTTCAGGATAAGGGTTAGGGTAAATCCCAAAAATACCCCCTAAATTATATTTTTATTTAAATTATTCTCTAAATTTTTAATTATTTTAATTTATCATCTAAATTGATAATTATTTCAACTTTTAATTATTTTAATCTGCCACTAAATCATGTAATATGTACTTGTAACGTATAATTTTTAAAAAAATTATCTTATTTAACTCTTAATCCTAACAAAATTTGTCTCATCTATCCAATAATTTTAGAGTAAATTAAAATAATCAAAAGTTGTGAGGATAATTTAAAATAAAGATCATAGGGGCATTTTTGAGGATTATCTCATGCGTGAAATGACTAAAAGACCCCTCAATTGCTTTGACTCCCAATCAAATAGGACTTGGTTGGTTCAATTAACCTGGACACACATTCGTACTAGTAAAATGGCATTTTCGTCTTTCTGTACCCCTTTAGAATCAGACTAGACCAGATGTTTCTTTATTTTGACTAGGGAAACAGAGCCTTAAAATGTGATCTCCCTCGCGTTGCTTCAAAGCTCAAAACGTTGACAGCCAACAAAGAGAATTTGAGAGAGAGAGAGGGCAGGGCAGGGCAGGGCAGANTCATTAAATTTTGAATAAAAAAAGTCTATATTTGAATCCCAAATAGTTACTTAAAACAATTACTGAATTATTTTTAATCAAAAAAATAATGAACCAAAAAATTGCCAATAACAAACTTATAAGAATTAAATCCTTAAAATCAGAAAAATAGTTACGCAATACAGTTAAACCCATTAAATTTTGAATAAAAAAAATTCTATATTTGAATTTCAAATAGTTACTTAAAACAGTTGCATAACTATTTTTAATCAAAAAAAAAACATGTTTCAAATTGTTTTTTTTCATATACATATGCTATAATACATTTGCAAATTATTAATATAATTTCACAAAATTAAGGTTTTATGATTTGGTTTTATTTTTGAATCAACTTAAACAGATTTTTGAAAAAAAAAACCAAATAATCATTGAATGAAAAAAAAAATAGAATGTCAACTCAAATTTTCGGTGAAGAAGTTGTCACAGACGGTGAACAGGTTCTGCACGATGTTGGTAACGATGAATAGTCGGATTTTGGAACTATCATAGTACTTTTTTTTTGTGGAATATTCGATGGTTAAAATAGAAAAAAATAAATAGTTATGTCATTCTATGGATATCCTATTGCCATTTGCCATGGAATTAGGATGCCGAAGAATCAAGGTGCCGAAGAATAAGAGTTTTGATAATTGAATCTCCTTTTTTATCTCCTGATTTTAGCCATAATATACAGAGGAATACAAATGAGTTCTGCGTTTCTATTGTTTACCGAATTATAATATTGGTGTTTTAAAAAAATATGCACTTTACCTCACATAAGTTTTTGAATTATACTTTTGTTCAAATAAGTCTAAAAAATTGTACCGACTTCTAAATTCTTTTTTTTTTATTCTCAATAAATTAAAAATGTGTAATCAATAGAGGTGTTAATCGATACAAGTTATTTGGGTTCGAATCGAGTTTGACTCATGTTTTAAATAAATTAAACTTGAATAATTTTTTGAACTCAATTTTTTTTAGTTAAAACTCGTAAAACGCGGTTCATTTTTATGTAAAATTATCGAATTAGGACTCGGCTCGACTTATTTTTAAAATATATAAAATATAAAATATTTTTAAAATTCATTTTAAAAAATGCACCGGACAAACTGGGATTCAAACTCGTAATATTCGAATCCACTAACAGTTAGTAATCAGTGAGCTATGCCCATGGGTTTAGCCTCGAGCATCTACGTCATTAAGACCGTCAATTTGGTCGTACTTTTTGCTTCAAATGATTGTCTCTTAAAGTCAAAACGTATAATAATCAATTACGTAAAAAAATTGTACAACCTTAATGGCAGTGATTTCAGGATAAGGGTTAGGGTAAATCCCAAAAATACCCCCTAAATTATATTTTTATTTAAATTATTCTCTAAATTTTTAATTATTTTAATTTATCATCTAAATTGATAATTATTTCAACTTTTAATTATTTTAATCTGCCACTAAATCATGTAATATGTACTTGTAACGTATAATTTTTAAAAAAATTATCTTATTTAACTCTTAATCCTAACAAAATTTGTCTCATCTATCCAATAATTTTAGAGTAAATTAAAATAATCAAAAGTTGTGAGGATAATTTAAAATAAAGATCATAGGGGCATTTTTGAGGATTATCTCATGCGTGAAATGACTAAAAGACCCCTCAATTGCTTTGACTCCCAATCAAATAGGACTTGGTTGGTTCAATTAACCTGGACACACATTCGTACTAGTAAAATGGCATTTTCGTCTTTCTGTACCCCTTTAGAATCAGACTAGACCAGATGTTTCTTTATTTTGACTAGGGAAACAGAGCCTTAAAATGTGATCTCCCTCGCGTTGCTTCAAAGCTCAAAACGTTGACAGCCAACAAAGAGAATTTGAGAGAGAGAGAGGGCAGGGCAGGGCAGTGATGGGGTCTGATTGCAAGGTAATCTAATCAATTCATATTCGATTGTCCATTGATTTTCTTCTTTGTTAAGGGTTTTCCCTGTTGTCTTATCTCGCTCTAGGTACTTTGGGATTTCTATAACTATATCTGTTTTGTGTGTTTGTTTATGAATTCTGTATGTTTTTTTGCTCCTAACAATAAATCAAACCGATAGACAGATTACTTTCTTTTGATTTTATATAATCGATGTGAAGGGTTTATCTGTTTTCTTAATTCCTTTGATATCTTGCTACTAAGCATATCTGGTGTGTATTTTTAGGGAAATACTATTTGTAACCCAAATTTGCATCTCAAATGAATGTGATCATTGGATGAGTGATCCAATCAATTTTTTTAAATGGGAACCACAGATTCAATGATCCTTATTGATTTGGGATCCCAAATTTGGGTTACATAGCATTGCTCGTATTTTTATGAGTTGTGTATGGTTTTTCGCTCTAACGAAAAATCAAAGAGGTGGGTTTGTTTTATTAAGGATATTGTTGGTCCTATGCTTTAGCTCTTAGTGGTTTTTTGTTTCACTAGTTAGGAAATCTAGGTTTAGGAATGAATTTAGGGGGCGTTTGCGATAAAAATGCTATCTTTTCCATTTTCAATCAATATAAATATATGTTTGAAAGGCAAGATAGAAAGATGAACATGTAGGAATGCAACTTTGACAGGAAGATAGAAGAAAATGGGGGCCTCTTTGTTGATGGTGCTGACCCTTGTGACGGAAATTTCATCTCTAACTTAAAGTCGAAGCTTGATTTGTTTTTCTTTATGAAATTAGAAATTACATTGTAAAAAAGGTTATGGATGAAGAGACTGTGAGATTAATTAGCGAAAATTGCATTCCACATCAACCATTCCTAGTGTGCCTTTGTATTTGTTTGAAAAACTCACTGAAAGTTCAATAAGCAAAACCGTAGAGGACAAAAATCCTAGGAATGCCCTACTGCTCGAGCATTAACGATGTGAAAACTATGAGTACAACAGTAGATTTAAAATCTGGAAAACTGAGAGATTGAACAATGATGATGTTGTTAGTGTCCTACCGGGATCAGGCGTAGTTAGCAGTTTACTTGGAACTGTTCAAAGCCAAATGCCAGCATCTTGCCCTCTTCTAAGAAAATCTGCAACAGCGATGTGTTTTCTTAACAAGAGGTGCACAATTTTTGTTTTCAATGGTTAGACCTTGAAGCATGTGTTATTGTTGACCACAGCCCAAAAGCCTCATGTGTTGTACATGTACCTTATTTTCAGACAGATGTTTATGATCATGCATTTAGTCACATCTGAATGCTTGGGTTTCTTTTGCATTGGTAATTTTGGCTTTCCCCAAAAAATTTGAGTATAGAAGCAAAACAAAAGAAAGAGGACTATGAAATAATGCAACTTTCTCAACAACTTGATTTCCTACAGGATGACAGGGAGGAAGTTTTACAGGCATGGTATATGGATGATAGTGATGAAGATCAGAGGCTCCCCCATCACCGGGATCCAAAGCAATTTGTGTCCCTGGACAAACTTGCTGGTACGAATATATGGTGGAGCATTTTATATTCATTGGATCAGTGGATATTTTTTCCTATGTCTTGAGCTATTATGTTAACTTTGCAGCACTTGGGGTACTCAGCTGGCGATTAGATGCTGATAACTATGAAACTGATGAGGAGTTGAAGAAAATTCGTGAGGCCCGTGGATATTCCTACATGGTATGTCGGAAATCAGGACTAACAAACAAAATAGAAAAATAATGAAAATTGCTATGTTTTGGCAACCTTTTTGCCTGCTTTCTAGAGCAGTAGTCTGCCAGCCTGTCAGTTGCAAGTATAATGGGATGCAAACTTTTGCTACAGGACTTCTGTGAGGTTTGCCCAGAAAAGCTACCCAACTATGAACAGAAGATCAAAAACTTTTACGAAGAACATCTTCACACTGATGAAGAGATTCGTTACTGTGTCGCGGGAAGTGGTAGGTTTATATATGTTTAGATTGTATAGTTCCCACTTTGCCCACCGATCCTGGCTGTCTTAACAAATACACTTTGTTGTGAAGGCTATTTTGATGTACGGGATCTTGATGAAGCTTGGATCCGTGTCTGGGTAAAGAAAGGGGGGATGATTGTCCTACCTGCTGGAATTTATCACCGCTTTACGCTCGATACAGACAACTACATTAAGGTATACTGCTACACAATTGTGCATTTGCCTGTGCCACGAGAAGGTCGGATTTATTTTTTTCAATTTCTCATCTGATGGCTGATTGTGTTGTGAAAAAAAAGGAAGACATATGAGGGAGGTGTCATTTATTATATTAGTTCCCCTGTTTCATTTGTTGCTGAATGCAAATGGTGTTTAGGTTACATAATGCACTGCCGTTTACCTGGCAATTATTTTCACCTGTCAACCATAGAAAAATCAGGAATATAAAGCCTTACAATTAGAAAATTTAACTATAAAGTCTCATGCATATCCATATGTATGTACATATACAACCGTATGCCTATCCACTGCCTTTTCTGTGATGTATCTTTAGAGTTTTATATCTTTCCAGTCCATGCCTGTAATCCCTTTTCATCATGCAACATGCTGCTGCTTATATGTGCTCATTGAAAATGTGACCCACCGGTGATGGTCATAGTAAGGGAACATATGTATTCTGTATGTTGTTTGGGCACACATCCCTTGACCATGGGGACTAATCTTAGGGTGGTCTACCTTTTCTTTAACAAATTGTTTCTTATGCAATAAATTCTTATTGTAGGCAATGCGGCTGTTTATTGGTGATCCTATTTGGACTCCATATAATCGTCCACATGATCATCTACCCGCCAGGTGTCTGCTGGATTTTCATTATGTTCTCTCCCTGTATCCCTCTCTCTCTCCCTGCACCCTCCCCTTTCTTCATCTTCTTTCTCTGTTTTGGTTGCAGTATCCAGGAACATTTTGATGACTAAAATTTTGATCTGGTCTTTATTTTCAGGAAAGAGTATGTTGAATCTTTTGGACAGAAAGAAGCTACTAATCACGCCATTGATGCTTCAGCTTAAACCGTAGCCTTTCCAAAAGCTCAAAAAACTGTTGTGTCTCTAATAATATATATTGGCTTGTATGGATTGGTTGCTTGTATGGCCCTCTATAGTGGTTGCTATCATCTAGTACAAAACCGATATTACCTGTTTTAAACAGGAAAGAATAAGTTTGTGTATGCAAATCTCATCGTTGGATGATGAGCTTGAATGCCTTCTACGTAATATGTAGATCGATAAATAACTATGGTTGATTGTATTAATACACGAGTGTTGTCATTTGTAAGGTCAATTCATTTTCNATAAGTTTGTGTATGCAAATCTCATCGTTGGATGATGAGCTTGAATGCCTTCTACGTGATATGTAGATCGATAAATAACTATGTTTGATTGTATTAATACACGAGTGTTGTCATTTGTAAGGTCAATTCATTTTGATCCATTTATCTCTATTCTGAGGCACATGAATCTTTTTCCAATAAAAAGGAAAGTATTCTTATGTCATCTTTCAATGAGATAAGAAACAATTGGCAATTTACCCTAATTGGGTTAGTCCGTGATAAAAACTAGTTGTTGTAAATGAATGGGAAGTCATTGTAGATTATTATCTCCAAGTTGTAAGTTAGAATCTCACCGAAGATACCATAAACATGTGTGATGTAAGTGTAATTGTTCATGTTTTTAACTTTTTTTATGTTACAGCTACTAATTTAAATTACGCGTGATTAAGGCAGTCCCAGTTAGGAACTTTCAACTCATGCTTTTGAAATTATCATTGGATTTGGTTTTGCCCGGGGGGATCATTGATTCNCATGTTTTTAACTTTTTTTATGTTACAGCTACTAATTTAAATTACGCGTGATTAAGGCAGTTCCAGTTAGGAAAATTAAAAAAAAAAAAAAAAAAAAGGTCAATTTTGTTCTTGAAAAACTAAAATGGACAAAGTCAAAAACTTTCAACTCATGCTTTTGAATTTATCATTGGATTTGGTTTTGCCGGGGGGATCATTGATTCTACATCCATCTTGAAGCTCTATTAAATTATTATCCTTTCCCATTGTTTCAAATCTTATCCTTAGAAAGAGTACACCTTTTGCTTGGATGCTAGAATGCCCCCAACACGTGTAATAAGATTTGAAATGGAGGTTGTTCAAATATGGAACTTTTTAGATTACAATAATCCTCCTTTTGATCCCTTGTTTGGCTCAATGTGGCACTTTTCAACTCATAATAGTTGTCCTCTTGAACAATTTCTTGCTATAAAGTAAGACTTTGAATAGATAAATTCATGTCTTGGAGGGCATGATTATTATGAATATTGACATGGGAAAGTTAAGTGAATATGCACATGCTCAAATAACCACTCCCTAGATATTTTGGGTGGTGTTGGGGTCTGCTCTAAACTTTGGGTTATCGTGTGAATATTTTTTATTTTTTTTCTCATATGGTCAAAAATAGTAAGTCATTTTATTTATTCTTAGAGCTCTCTTAATTCAATCATGTGTTTTTTAAACTTTTTATTACGATATAAATTTTGCATATTTGCACCTACTCTCAAGCCGCACAGATCAAAAGAGTCGGGATTCCAACTTAAAACTATAAATGCAATAATCTTTCAAATATTTTTTTATTTGAAGCAACTTTGGAGGTTCATGCGACTATGATATATATATAACGAGTACATAAATGTGCTTTTCTCTTTGCTTATTTAAGGAGGATTCTTACACTATGTTTTACAACATGTGGAGATCAAATTCAGTTCTTCAACATGAGAAAAATTATACCTTTGACACCATTGTCAAAGTGAATTTCAAAACAGAAATTGTAAACTAAACAAATTCGGGACCAACTTTAAAGTCTAAAGGATGTGACAAAAATCAAACAATCAATTATTTAAATTTTTAATTTTGATTCAAATATTTGGTCACGAGGTGCGGAGCTGTTCATGGTCCAGGGGACACTTGCCCAAAAGGGTACAGATGGTGATTAGGACTCTTACACTAGTAGATATACAATTGGTGGGATAATTTTCAATGTAGTCAATAGAGGTAAATCCCACCGACCAAAGGATTTGAATCTACATTCTGATACATACTTTCTTGTTTGAAGAAGGCGTGGCACTAGAGAATAACGCCAATTGGCCTATTTTTGGAGCTCGCCAAGTGGAGTATTCCTATTGGAACAGACAAGATGAGGGAGAGAGGGGGTCATGTCATAGTGTTCAATATTTAATTGTCTATCGACTTTATAGAAAATTATTCCACCAATTATATATCTACTAGTGTAAGAGTCCTAATCACCATCTATACCCCTTTTGGGTGAAACCCTTGTGTGGGGTGACATAATCATTAATGCTTCAAATACATTATAATGGCATTTCTTTTTCAAGATATTTTTGGTTACTTTGTGCTATGCCAAAATATTTTTGTTATAAGCACTAGTTTTCATCCCCAACCAACCAAGGGTAGCCCACCTACAAGATTGTAAATATAATTCTACTCAAAATAAAGCGATTTTTCGATTAATTTTATATCGTATTGGTAAAGTGTCAATTACGACGATCTTGATAATTCTTACAGATATAACAAAATCCTAGTATTTTTTAATTCAGAAATCAACTAGGTATTGACATATCAAAATTTTAATTCATGAATATTTTTTTATAATAAATTCAAATTTGAGTTCATATCATAGTCCCACTAATCGCATAGAAACGAAGTTAATGATTGATCTAATGATCACCATTCCTATCATTAAATTTTAAGATTACGAGTTCAAAACTTGCCGTACCCTTCCTCTAATAATTCTTGACCCAAACAAAAATTGCACAGGAGCCAGAATAAAGAACAAAAAAGCACAATATTGTCAAAATACTTTCCCAAAGGAGAAAGAAAAGGGGAACTAAAAAATATCTGAAGACCATTTTGGTCCACTTTTCACCCACAACTTTCCACCTATTCATGTCCCCCCACAGCAAATACACATAATATAAAACTAAACATTCTCATAAACTAATGACACCCAGTCCATATTAACCAATGAAATGGTGACACCCAGTCTATAATTAACCTATTATTTCCCTTCTGTTGCTTGGCCTCCATCAAAAAATATTGCCAAAGCTATATATATATATACTTCTCTATATCTTATCAAACTTGTTCCAAACTTTTCTTCTCCTCTCTCTCTCTCTCTCTCTCTTGTTCACTCCGTCAGTTTGATTTGCAATACTACTTGCAGATTATCTCCATAACCCATTTACTGCCCATGATTTTATTCTATTGGAACACCCAAAAACCATAGTGTTTTGACCATGTTCATATTTTCATTTGAATCTTGATAATCTTCACTTTAGGAAAAACTACTTATAATTGATACCCTTTTAAGAGAAATCTATCAACATTGCTCATACTATACCTGCATACCACTAGGCCTTAATTCTACCTAACCATCAAACCACATTCTTCCAAAAGGACAGAAGGTCAATCAAGCCTACACTTCTGTTTTTCTCATTTGTTTTGATTCAATTATGAATCCCCTAGGCCCATGGAAGATTGAGTATCATGAGTTTCGAGGACCGAGTTCATCGTATTCTGGTGAGTCTTCTTCCATGTTTATCCCTCAACCAAAGGAGGGTCTTAATGAGACTGGTCCTCCACCTTTCCTCACCAAGACTTATGATCTAGTTGATGATCCAAACACAAATGGTATTGTTTCTTGGAGTACAGGAAACAACAGTTTTGTTGTTTGGGATCCCCAGACTTTTGCCATGAATCTTCTTCCGAGGTACTTCAAGCACAACAATTTCTCAAGTTTTGTGAGGCAGCTCAACACCTATGTAAGAAAAAATGATACCCTTTTTTCTTTGCTTATTATTAGGTTCTGAGATCAAAATTCCCATTTGGTGCATAATTTTGGTCAGCTCGAAAATAGAATGAAAATGAATTTTGTTTTTTTCTTAGAAATTTTCATATTCCAAAATATTCCGAAAGATAAGAATTTCAAATTTCAACTAGTGATTCATTTGAATTTCCATCAAAATGGCCGAAAAAAATGAAATTTTGATCCTTGATTATGTTTCTCATTGCAGATCTGTTGTATGTTTTAATGGCTTCAAAAGGAAAGTGGACAGATCATAAAACAATACATGCACTCACTATATAATCTTTCAATATGTCTTTTATACTTTGTAAAGTTCTTGTAGGCTTTATAGATTAACTGGTTTTTCATAAGAGGTTATTGCTATTTTTGATCAAGTCCTAGCTAGGAATGTGAATTGTGCAGGGCTTTCGAAAGATGGAGCCAGATAGATGGGAGTTTGCTAATGAAGGGTTTTTAAGAGGGCAAAGGCAACTGCTGAAGAACATTAGGAGGAGAAATGCATCTTCTCATCCTCAGACTTCCCACCAGGGCCTAGACCATTGTGTCGAATTGGGTCGATTCGGATTGGATTCAGAAATTGATCGGTTGAGGCGTGACAAACAGGTTTTAATGTTGGAGCTGGTGAAACTTAGACAGCAACAACAGAGTACTAAAGATTACCTCAAAGCATTAGAAGAAAGACTAGAAGGAACAGAGATGAAACAGCGACAGATGACGAGTTTCTTGGCCAAAGCAATACAGAATCGTAGTTTTGTACAGAAATTAGTACAACATAAGGACAGAAGGAAAGAAATTGGGGCAGTAATTGGTAAGAAGAGGGGGCGGTCTATCGATCAAGGTCCTAGTAATGTTGCAGTAAGCAAATTAGGCCATGGTAGGGAGGGAGAATTTTATGTTAAAATCGACGATCTGGAGCTGAAGGCTCTTGCTATGGACATTCAAGGACTAGAGGGAAGTGGAACTTCAATGAACATAGAGGAAGAATATGCAGATAAAGAAGAAAAGCATCATCTTGGAGATCATAGAGTTGTTGATGTGGGGTTCTGGGAAGATTTTTTGAATGAGGAGATTGAAGATGAATTGGATTTACTTGGTTTTGAAAGAGAAGATATAGATGTGTTGGCTCAGCAGGTTGGTTTCTTGGGTTCCACCACAATATAGACTATAGAGTATGGCTTGTTGTCTTTTCATCCATAACTATTTATTAGTTTTTATTCAGTTCTTTTGAGTTGCTCAAACAATCTCTTTTTATGTAGAGTAAGATCACATATATCTGATATTTTTAAAATCTCGGTGGCGAGTGTTTTGTGCACATGCTGTCCTTTCTGTTTTAATTTTTATGATGGCCAAGAACTAACAGTTCTTTGATGGTTTTTTTATGGTATTAGTTGGAGAATGTCAATTCCTTTGTATTGAACTAAGCAACTCCACGTGTGCATTAATCAAACCAGTTGTACTGTTGAAATATCTAAAATTTGGGGCCACGCCAAGTTAAGTTAATAAAATCAATTAGAATCAATCCCAAAGTGTGCAATCGATTTCAAATTTTTAGAATTGATTTCTAGTTTTTTTGAATGCTTGTGAAATGTTAGTTTCACTTGTTTCGTCACAATTTTTCCTAATCAGATGTTATTTTTTAAGTTTTGTGGTATGATGTCTAATACGGTTATCGTAACTCTCTAAAATTACCGGTCTTATTTCCTTTCCCTCATAGTTACAGGTAAAGTTGACAAATGAGAGAGTTGAGTTGATTTAAAATAGATTGGGTGTAAAATAAATTTAATCTGTTTTCAATCAGTCTAATAAACGAGTTACAATGGGTTGAATTATAACGAGTTAGGTTAAATCCATAAACCCATTACATAATTAAAACTCTTAATATGAATACATACTAATACACAAAAAGCACAAACATATTTATTTTATTAATTGTGTCATGGGTTGGGTCACGGGTTGGTCGGGTGTATTAGTGTGTGTGCTCTTTTGGTGTACTAGCATGTGTGTTTTTTAGTGTATTAGTGTATGTATATTTTTTGGTATATTAATATATTTATTTAATTTTGTTACTTGTATTATTTAATAAAAAAATAAATATTCAACTCAATGGGTATCCATTTGTAATCCATATTAACTTGTTTAATTAAAACACATCATTTTATTCTACTAATTTAAAATTCATATTAATTAATATAGGTACTCAATGTATTTAGACGATTTAATAGATAATAGATTAAGAATTACTACCTCTAGTTACAAGTTAAACAAAACCTGCTTTTGTACTATAAATGAAACACTTCCCTCTACACTTGTTTCATATAAGTAATTAAAATTATTAAATAAAATAAAATAAAATTTAATTTGAAACAATTTACACAATTAAATCACAATGAAAAAACCAACTTGAGAGAGAGTTATTTTTAAATTCGTATTGTGTCAAGTTTTTTAACTAGTTGGTATTCTTGGATAGAAACCTATCCAATCAATCTTCTTGAAAGAGGTCTGCCAAACAGCTATTAACTACAGCATTAAAGTGAACCAGTCAGTTGTGTAGTCTAACGGCAATTAGCCTCCCCTATTAGGGCCTCTTTGTTCTTTGGGTTTTAGAAGGATGGAGTTAGACTCTGACTATAACTTTGCGATTGCGAGTTTACCCAGATCGAACCTTTTTTTGATGGTTTTTTAACGAGAAAAAAATGGTATGACTAGGAATTTTCCATCTGGTGGCCCTTATATTCTTTTTAATGTATTATAATTTTAAATTATGTAACAACAACAACAAAAAAAAAAACAATTAAAGCCACAAATTAATAAAAAATTCAAAGTCAACGGTGATGAAACCCATGGCATACGTTGATCTCGGAGTTAACAAAGTCTTGAACATTGCCACGTGGACTACTAGCCGACGAAAAATAAATCCAGCTGCGAATAACAGCAAACACGTAATTAATAGCGGAACTACACCAACACAAACATGTAAAGACTAAAATACCCCTTATGTTCGAAATAATTGATTATTAATGCATAGGAAGTAAATAAATTTGAAGGGTGTCACACAAAATGACGTTTTGGTATAATTTTTTTTGCTCAACGATTAATAATGTGCAGGTCAGTTTACATATATCTCTCGATTAATTATTTTTTCAATTTGGTCAAAGGTAAATCATCATGTCAGGACCAAAATATTCATGATGGATAAATTTCTTATGACCTGATTCCAAGAAATTGTCAAGATTTAAATTTAGAACGTTTGAGTTTTTAAATTTTATGGATTTTAGTCCATTTTTCCTTATTTATGGCATTAATTATATGGGTTTCTAAATCATTTAACTTATTATTGGCTTTTCTTGATTGGACAAACTTCAAAAAAAATTGTCATTATATTAATATTAAAATTTTTCATCAATGTATTGTTGTGTGATAACGTTGCGATGATTTCTATATTTAGAGCATCCACATATTATCTTTGTGGGTCGTGTCAATAGAAAAATCATACAAACCATTATTTTTCATCATTAATTGATTGTATTGGTAGCTTTCAAACTCTTGTCCTAAATTTATTCTATAATATTGCAATTTAATTGTGGCATTTGAGAAAAAACGAAAAAAAAGGGGTCAATTCTTGATAAGAAACTCTACGGCACTATTGGCAGCACTAGTACTGAAAATTATAAATTTTTAAAGATGAATTATAAATTTTTTAAGATATAAGTTACAATTTT